CAGAATTAAAACATTCTCAACAATAAATTTTAATTTTCATAGATAACAAAGAACATGTAAATGAAACAAAAAACATGTCGGATATACATTTTTACTAATACTGAAATTCATTATAAAAAGTTTTCCCAAAAATATTACATGATCTAATTGCAAAACTTTTTCTTGAATTTCAAACTTTGTTTTCTGAAAGATTTGCGGTATTCAACAGTAACTTTTATCTAAAGTTCATTTTAAATTAATAAATTTGTCATATAGATTTTGACTTCTGAAGTGGCATTACTTTTTTAGTAAATATCATCAACAATTATTTTGACTTAAATGTATACTTGTGTAATAGTTCATAGGTTTCTAACTCCAATTATCACGTTTTTGAATAAGAAACGAAAGACATTTGCTGATTTTCTATTTGATATCAGATGCCAAGACTGGTATTTTGTTTTGCTTTATATAACACGGATACGTCTGGTTAGTTGTTTCTAAACGGATAATACCTTGTAATAAATTTGTCTACTTAAATGTTAACTTGAGCTACTGGCATTCCATTCTATTGTCTTTTGTGATGCCAAAAATTCAAAATAGACATCTGTTTGTGCGCCGCATGTTCGATTTTAATGACGTAACACTTAAGCTTTGGTTAGCAACTCGTAAAGTTTAACTTGTCTCTGTAATAGTAATATTTTTCATGATTATGAGAAAATAAAAATTATAAAATAACATATTTTAAAATTTATGGTTTTGCCGAGTTTGGCTGTAAGCAAAATATGTACCGAATTTATAAAATTGTTACTAAAATTTTTAACAAAATCGAATGAATTTGAAATATGCTTCTAAGCACACTTACATAATACTAGTACTTTCACTTTCACAATTCTTGTTCAATTTATTTTTGACACTTTTTATTCTCATAACTAAAATTCCTAAAAATTTTAATTATTGGCGTCTTTTACGAGACGCTTTTTCTATTTACTTCATACCAAAGTATTCAATAGCTAAAAACAAATAATTTTGAATATAACATAATTTAAACTATCTGGCTAAGATGCTCGTTTTAAAAATACCAATTGGCAAGTTTGCTAACAATTGATCTTATACATATATTATCTTGTGCGCTTAATAGGATTACAGAGCCATATATTTGATTTACCATTACAATATATTTGAACGTTAAATGTAATGATTATTTTATATATATAAGCAAGTAAAGACAGTAAGGATTTGGTTTCACTTGTAACTAAACTAGTGATGCATGGCATTGTGTCTTAAGACAAATTGCTGCAAATTCATGTGCCAAAACTTAATATTTTTAAAATAACTTTAAATTTTTTTGAAAATTGAAAACTTAAACTTTTGAGAATTTTGAAATTTTTGAAAATAATTGACTGCGAATAAGACAATAACTAGAGCTGCCAATAACATACCAAGAATGCATTTTTATGCTTTCTGTAGTTATTGTTTTCTTATTCTAGTAGAAGTTAATGATATTTTAAATTGTTTTGTTCGAATGATAAGGTTTAGAAACAATAGATCTTTTTTATGTATTTTTCTATTGAAATTATTTTTATTTCGCTAAAAGCTTTAGGCAGATTAAAGCTTAATTTCCATTGGATTGGTGAAAATATTGATTTCAGCATATTGCTAGAATAAAATAATTTTGATGCATTTCAGATCAATTCATTATTGTTGTATCATCTTAATTTAGTTCTTATAGATATAGAAAATTGTAGATATGAAGAAATTATTTAGTATAATTATCTCATAAAACACTAATATTACCTAGTATTGAATATAGTAAGAGATCTTCTTTTTAATAACTAAATTCAATTTATGATTTGTAAACTTTATAACTTGAAATTTACATTTTATATAATTCACTATACATATTTTTGCATGTACAGCGACAGCGTATTTATTATGTATGTACAGCGACAAACGTTTCAAAACCGTAGTTTGTCTCATCATTAGTCTAACAATAAGTTTATATGTTGTATTATTAAATTTGTATAATATTATTTCAAATCATTTAATTATGTAAGATCAGTCAACAAGTCTTCTTTTATACGAAATTTAAGCTTGATGATAAGACAAATCGTGGTATCGAAATGTTATTAACTTTAACTTTACATAATAAAGTATGTGGCCTAAACCGTTTTCATTTGCTTCTTGATTTTTTTTTCTACATAAGATATGAACTATAGAATAAATATATAGTAGGAAAAACTAAGTACGATTGTGCCAGGGTACGGTAGTGACAGTCGCCATAATAGCTAAACTATACTGATTTTGATAAAAGGTCCAAAAATAGAAAGATGATCTGTAGAGCACATTGCATTTAAGGAGTCAAAAAAGGTATTTTGATCGTTTTTTTTAATGATAACTGTTGCGTGTATACAGATAAATCACTTTGTTAGTTATTTTTCTGTAAATTGAACATTAGTAGTTAATTACCACCAATTAGTTTTTGCGTAGATAATTTAGCTCAGTCGCTTATACCTATAGTTTTTGTTTTTATGCTATTTTTATGCCTCTCACAACCATCCTAAATTTGGGGCCGGTTGTGACACTCGCTCTTTTCTTGTGTGACTTGATTTTATGACTAATTTATCGTATTTAAAAACAGTATTTTAGTATTTCCGCGTAGTTCAAGTTATTTTTACTTTTTTCTCCGCTAACTGGTAAATTAACAAAATATTGTCTGATTAAAACAAAATTTGGCACAACCGTACCCAGTCCCCCCTATATTTAATAATATATCATGACGTTTACCATTTGTTTGCAACTCATTGATCAATGTAACTATCATTCAGGCCGTTACTGTCTTTCATACTTTCTGCATTTAAATTCGTTAACGATTTCTTCGATTAGCAATAAAAATTTTGATATAAGATCATTACAGCTTCATTCAGAAATCCGTCCGTATGCAAAATCTTAACTTCTGCGACGACTTTTGTTATTACCGCAAAAGGTCGGTGGTCTCGGCGGCTTTTAGCTGATGCGTAGGCGTAGAAGAAAAGCTTCCGTTAATCGCGAAAGAGCTGATTTAATTATCCTAACAGAAATGATACACAGGCCTTCAACTCTGGCCGTCGAGGCGGTCTATTTTATTTCCCACAGTCGCGGTATTTACACTCTCCGACACACAGAACAAAGCCTGACATTGTACCGACGACTTTAAGACCTTACTGATGTTGTGAGCCGAAAAGAAAATATTAACTTAAATGATGATGGACAAATGATGAATATTTTGCAGTATTAGTGGACTGCCAAGAAAATTTTCTGCAAACCCTTGTAAAAATCATTTTATAAAATCGTAATACATGTTTTGTTTCAAGGCATGTGGTTATGGTAATGAAAATAGATAGTTTTGGTGATATATAGGGAAGTCTAAATCTGAAATACTTTTTTTTGATTATACGTATGCTTTATATAATACTAATTTATATACTTTATTTGGCTTGTACTCCTAATATTGTATTCTATATTCCACAAATATAATTGTAGTCAGATTTTTATGTCAGACAATCTGGTGACCAAAACAGTGGTGAATGGCGTCGTGCCTCAAGGCAAATTGCTGGAAGTTTTCGTACCAAAAATTAAAATTTTTATTTTATATTATTTTAAAAACGATCCAATTTTTTTTGAAATTTTCAAAAAAGTGACTTTTTCGAAAAATCAGTTTTTTTTTTATATTTAGAAACTTTTTGTCAAAGCAATCGCGCTGCATAGAGACGAAATATCGAAGCGTGTAAGCGCCGCGTTGCAGCCTTAACGAATAAATATTGGTACGAAACCCATAGGAATGTAAACAAAATTTGTTCTTATTATTAAAATCTCTATAAAATGTCTGGTAATTTGATGTGCATATGCGTAATGATTATTTTTGACCGCCAAAAGGCATTTTTTTTAATTTTTTTATTGGATCTTCGAAACCGCTAGACCTGCCTTCCCAAAAATTTTATCAGTTTTCTATTTAGTCAATTAGCATTTTTAGCACTTTTTGCCTTGTATTCATTCCCGTATTTTGAATTGTCGACAAAATTTGTATCCAAACACACACACACACACTCTGTGTTTCACATTCATTTCTTTTCTAAGGTATGCCAAAATTTCCATTTTACATTTTTTTACGATTACTATATTTTACTCTATCTTACCCTACGGGAAGGTATTAACAGATATAATATTACAATATATTGGTGGTAAGGCAAAAACGGTGGTAAGATAATATATTTGTTTTATATTATATATAGTGTGAGTCCTACATCACGTAGGAGGTAATTTAATAATGAAAAGGGGAAACTCTTCAATCAAAGTTAGATAAAACTTCTCAATTTGAATTATTACCATCAAAATTTTCTGTCTAATTGCTTACTAGAGAAGACTATTGAAGGTTGATAAAAAAATCACAATTTGATCTAAATCATCATTCATCTTGATGAAAACTAAAATACATTTTTTTTATTATAATCATTAGAATAAAATCAACTGTTAATACGTTTTTTTAACATGCCATTTTAACACAAAGTCTTTCACAACCGATCAATTGTAAATGATCAAATGAATGCTGAATGCCCTAAATGGGACAGTTGAGAATATATGAAGAGTTCCTAACCAGAGTAGACCTTCGCAAATCGAACTGAACGCCATAAATCATATCAAAAATAGTTCTATTTTTTAAATGTTATTATATTATTTCCAATTAGTGGACATACTACTTATTATTTATTTTTACATTACTTTACTTAATTTTTTCATTCATTCAAATCAAATAGAAGCCGCTCTCTGTTTTCGTAATAAAGCCAGAGCAGATTTTTTGCTGCCATTTAACGAGTTATGTATACATTAGTTTTAGTTTATTTTGGCAACATTATTTAGTGATATTATATATACTCAGAATCGCCGTATCTCAAATTGCCCTGATTTGTGGGATGATCCACTCTGATTGCCAACTTCTTACATGTAATAATAATTATATTATTATAACAAAATTATCTATTTTCTAGGTTGAAATTTATGTATGGGGGCATAACTTTCTTAAAATTGTTGCGTGGAACATGGATTATCAACACTCTTGGGAAGCACTGTTTCAGATAGTACTATCAGCAAGGACCACGAACTAGATTCAAGTTTCTTGCTTACATTTGACTGCAATGACTTCATGCTCTATTGTAAGCAGTTCACTACAAATTTAGTTTTTTTTTGTAAATTTTATAACTGATACCAAAACCATTTCCGCGTAATGTAGAAGAGAACAAATATCGTTATTGCTGCTTTGCATAAACTTACAAAAAAGATTTGTTACAAACGCGTTTATTTGAACGAAACAACCGACTACTGTGGGTGAGTAACAACGTTTCAGCAATAAAAGTTTGTTTGATTGCCCCGAAGGCTATTCTCGATATCAAACTTAATACGATCCTGCAATAAATATCGAAGGAGTCTTCATCGACTTCTTCGCAACGTGTCGAGAATATTATTTTCATGTAAACATGTACCTGAGACGTACATGTTTACACGAAAGATGGAACTAAAATATTACTGCATAGTATATTGCATTATGCAGGCGAATTGGTGAAATTGAAATAAATCTATTAATAAAAACTTGATCTATTTCAATTACTATAAATCAAACTATTTCTATTTCTTTTTGTATAAACAATCAAATATAGATACAAATAAGACACGAATATCAATTACTATTAAAAGAGATCGATCAATAAATGGTGATAGTGACCTTTTAAATACGCGTCTTAAATGCTTAGTTGTTTATAAATTTCTTAAGTTTTAAGGATTGAAAATTCGATATATGTTGCTTTTTTCATTGCCTTTTATAACAAATATTAGTATTTGATAACAACCTTAAATTATCCTATTAGAATTTATTTACTTGTGAATATAGACATGTGATTCTTCACATTTTAATGTTTCTATTAAATTTTGATTATTTGTAGATTTAAAATAATTTTATTTTGAAAAAATGAACTATGAATAAAGTGAAATTTTCTGATAAGAATAAAATTGTAAACCAATACAATATTTTTGCATCTTTTGCTTCGTATCTTCCAAACGACTGGACCTGCCCTTGGTAAAAACTAATCAGTAGGTCTCGCCGTCAACACGAATCGAATGTCGTCTGAATCAATTTAATCGGATGACTTGTTCTCGTTAAAACTGATTTCAAATTTTCTGCACTTTTTGTCCCGCATCCCTGAAACGGTTGGACCTGTCTTTATCAAAATCTAATCAGAACATATCACTAGCGATAGGAATCGAAATTATCAATAATTTGTTAATATGTAACGAAAACGTCGACTAAAAATTGTATTTATTACACACATAGTACATAAACACATAAATTCATTTTTTCTAAGATGTGCCAAAATGTTCAGAATACTATACTTACTACTTTACAGAACGTAAAGATATTCATTTTCGATTTTTTTGCGAATACTATAGCTTATACTAAGGGAAGTTATAATTACTTATTGTTTATTATTGAAATGGAATCTTAGGTGACATTACATTTATATAAAAAATTCAAAGTTTATTTTGAAAATATAAAAATATTTGTTTGAATAAAGTATAATGAATAAAGTTGAATGAAATCTAATAATGTAGTAACAAAAACGCTTTAGATACTGCTTAAAGTAGAGTATCCTAATACGTATGAGTTAAAATTATCTGAGGTATTAATAATTATAATAAACTCAATAACAAGCATTGGTCTTGGTGCAGATTCAGTTCATTTTTAATAAATAACTGTGTTCTCTACATTTATAAACTAAACTTTAAAGGCTTTCTAAGTTGGTTTTTAAAACTACTTATCTTATAATTATGTAAAAGCTTAAGTGTTTAACTTAAACCAATAAGCTAAACCTTAAATCAGTAATTTTCTGCTAAAGCCAAAAGTTGCTTTTTATATGATAATTATATTAAAGGTTTACTTAATAGTTTCAAAATTGGTGCTTGAGATTACGTTCAATATTATTATATACTTCTAGCAAGGCGTGAACAGATAAAATATATAAATAATTTATTTTGCTCAGTAGAATTTATATCTTAATTTCTGTTTAATTTCAAAAAAAAAGTTCGATCTTCAAATGACAAAATAAACATATAATAATCTAATTATGTTTCATAATTCTATGAATGACGTTATTTTGTCGCAAATATCGCAGAAACTAATAACATAATAGTCAAATATTTTTATTACTGTGATTACCAAATTGTCAAAGAACAAATATGAACATTTCATAAAAACGTTTAACTAAAAATACATTTTTCTGTAAAAATAGAAATTTGTATATAACCTCATTACTCTGTTTACTCTGCTTACGTTTATTTACTCTTTTAATGAAAACCGTAGTGGTACCTATTTCAGCAAGTAAATAATACGACGACCGTACATTGTACTGACATCATGGGTCAATAATCAGATGATTTACGTCTCTTAGTATCGATTAGAATTCATTATTTTTATTATTATATTATTTGTTTTTAATGTCGTAATTGTAATCGGGTTTTATACCAAAAGAGAGACAATATTCTCAATACTCAACAACACCGACTCATAGGACATTTTATTACCAACTCATTAAAGCCATGTGAAATATTTGAAAATAGTTTTTCAAATCGGATTTTTCTCAAGTTCGAGTTTGTTTTAGGAAATAAATTACCTCAAAATGTGAGAAATTATTTCTTTGATCAACTGTAGCGAACGGATAGCTTTTTATCTGATTATATAAGTGATTTAGTAGAGCATTATCTTATATTGAGCTCGCCCGTAGGTAAGCGGTTAAGAGCGACGGGACTTGTTTCAGAGGTCCCGGGTTCGATACCCACTTCGTTGTTCGATACCCAATGTCAGGCTACATTAACAACGATTTTCACTTGGAAATATAGATAGCAATATGTTTCCAAGTGAACCCGGCATTGCTGCACCATTAAACATATTCGCCCTATTACAGAAATTGTAATAATAATATATCAAACAGAGATGTGAAAACTGGATTGGGTTGCCATTTGTCAAACAGACTAGTATTAAGTCAAAATCAGCACAACAGCTTATAGGACAATTAGATTCTGATTGCTGTTCAAAAATAATTATAAAAAAAATCTTATATTAACATTTTGTCATTAGTAATGTGCCGACGCGAAAATTTCTAGATTCGAATGATTCCAATGAGATTTTTTTTTTATTCTCTTTATTGAATTACAATCTGTCTTTACAAAAAGGAAGACATTCAGTAATTTTGATGATATATGAAATATTAAACATTAGATCTAAAAGGTTACCCAGTTGTAAGCCTTTTCAATTTTGATATATTATATTTAAATTTTGTGCCAATGAGAAAATAACCTGTTTCGAATCAACTAGAATAGAACTAGAAACAAAAACCATGGATGTATTTATTTAGTAAATGTAATCAAAATATTTAAATTGTTAGTTTAACCAATAAATTACTACCAAAAAATATACTCTGTGTGTTATTAAAAATTATTCAATTTTGAAGGCAGTTAAACATATTTCAAATTAATTTACTAATAATGTATGCAAACTTTAAAAAATATTCTAGAAATTTGAAAAACATAGAAGTAATGATTTTAAAAGTATTATTTATATGCAAATTTGTGTACTGGATTAATAATTAATATGCATATAAAACAGGTAGTATTGGGTAGTACTGTCCGTGAGCTGAGTTAAACTTCAACTCGATTCAGGTAAGAATAATGTGAGAGATTTCCCATTGTCATTTCACACCGCAGTGCCCATAATAGGCTATTTTCAATTGGAAACATATTTTTGATCTGAACATATATATAATAACGCATTTTTATTTTAATAAGCGGCTTGCATAAACAAAATGGAATGGAGGTAGAAATCGTGAATATATATTTATTGTGCGATACATATATTGCTAAATTGATGTCTGCTCTGATTGTCTAATAAGGGCCCGTACGAAATTTTTGAGCCTATTCCCGTGCGTTTAGTAATACGAGGTTAGCAGTCAATGATTTCCCATAAAACACTAATAATAACATAAGTATATACGACCGCCGCGTACATTATTGTTTCGTTTAAACGATTTCTATTAACAACGCGGTGTTTAACGGACGTCTACACAATAATTTTGAGTATTTCGTGAACAATTTGTTTTAATAGCGTGAGTATATGGCTGCCGAAAATAGCATGTCCGAATTCAGTCGCTAAAATACGCCCGTGGCACCGACGGACTCCCTATAATTCATAGACAAAAACTCACAAACCGTTTTATGGAAATTAGTAAATAACTGATATAATATCACTAATACGGGTATCAGTTGGCTTGGCCGCTATTGCCATATAAAAAGGAAGATTCACGCTTTGCCCTCTGGTCTGAAAATGCGTAGTTCTGTGATATTGTAGGCAGGCAGGTAGCCACCAGGCTAAATATCTTTGATGAATAATAAGATTCCAAGAATTTGTTTCAACAAAAACAAAAACACCCGTATTATTACAGAGAGATGAATTATAGATGACTCTTTAATAGACGGCGTCCACTTTCCGTCCATCGCATGTGAGTCCCATGAGAATCAAATATGATTTCTGCTCCCGTTGTTTCTTTCCTTTGCAATGTCTTGGCTTGGAATCTAAAGCGCGGTTTCTGAAACTTTCTTAATAATCAAATGACACAAAATGATTGTATCACTTTAGAAGTATGCAAGATGCGAAAAGCTTTTCCATTATTAATTCAGGCAGTTGTTCACAAAAATATATTTTTATATTGAAAATGTAACTGAATATGTAATACATTATTAATGACAAGAAAAAAAGTGACAATCGGTTTTTAATTTATATAAAATTAGCAAAATTAACATTATTTTATTTATGAATTTATAATTCACAAGTTCAATAGTTTTTTCTAACGATTATTATACTTTTATCATTATTTTCAACTAATGGCACTCCCAGACTCGTCTTAACTTTTGTGTCCATTTTTCAATAGGGAATATAAGTTACACTTGCAATATTTTTCAGTTTTTAGATCGGCTTTTTAATGCAGAGAATATTTTTTATTGCTAAATAAAAAACTCTGTGTAAATAAACGCTGTAAAATATGCGTTGTGTTAACTTACTAGTGATTTTTATAATATAATAAACAT